CTGGAATACGATTCATTAATTTGGTCTCCAATCTACAGCAATTCAAGGGTTAGTATTGAATATGTGCAGCGTAAGGCATTAAAGTATTTGTATTACAAATGTTATGGCAATTATCCTGAAAGAGGTTTCGACCATTCTATTTTGTTAAACATTTTTGATATAGAGTCCTTGCATCTTAGACGCGACATATCAGTGCTACATATTTTGTACAAAATCATACACAATCAAGTTGATTGTTCATCCATATTAAGTAAGCTTAATTTTCGTGTGCCTGGGTTGGGAAATCGTGCTCAAATTACTTTCTATCCAGTTATTGGTAATACTAATTTATTGTCTAGATCTCCGGTAAATATGATTTGTACATGTTTCAATTCTGTTTGCAGTTCCTGTAACTTATTTTTTGATAGTGAGAACTTTGTTGTGAAGTGCAGAGACTGGTACCTTTGTCAGTGAGAGTTTGATTTTTCTTTTTTTAAGTTTTTTTTTTGTGTTTGGCGTTACCGCTGTTGCTAATTATGTAACTTTTTCTTGTATTTTTTCTGTAAATGCCTGTTGGAATAAATAAATGAATAAATAAATAAATATAAATGGTGAGCCATCTGTTGGTTTCTTTTTTAAATTGATATTAGAACTACACTCTTCAATAATATGTAACACTCGATACTTTATTTAAAAGAATACACAATTTCAGTTAAATGGCTACCGCGGCTGGCCTAGCAGTAGTCCATATCCTTAACTCAATTTTGAAGCACATTTTATCAATAGCTCGACGGCAATTTTCCTTATGAACATCAATTGTTTGAGGATCGCTAGTGTAACTGCGGTCCTTAAGAGTACCCCATAGGAAGTAATCATGGGCGTCAAATCACAGCTGAACGGCTGATAACGCGATGACCGAACTTAGTGTGTAAAAAATCGAATCTACTGGAACCAGAGATTGTGCAAGTGCATGTCGTCTAATTATAGCCAAAAAAACTCCTCAACATGTCTCTATAGCGTTTCCCATTTGCTGTCACTCTGTTATCATCTTCATCTTAAAAAAAAGTAGGGACCAATAATCCCACCACTTCAAAAGCCACTCTAAACAGTTACTCTTTCTGGATGCATTGGTTTTTCTATGACGACATGTGGATTTTCAGAACCCCAAATCCTTCAGTTCTGCTTGTTAACGTAACCTCCCTGGAGGAAATAGGCTTCGTCCGAAAAGATGATTTGGCGACCAAAATTGACGTCCCTTTCCAATTGATTTAGAGCCCACACAAATAAACGATATCGAAGCGAATGGTCATTTTGTTTCAACTTTTGCACAAGTTGCATGTTGTAAGGAAATAATCCCAGGTAGTTATGCAATATTATCCGCATAGAAGTGAGACTGATGCCCACTTGTGCTGGGTGACAAGTTGGATTCTTGCGTTTTCACGCACGCTCTGAGCAACAGCAGCGATGTGTTCGGATGTACGTACGGGTCGAACATGCTCATATCTTCTGTTATCGAAAAGCAGGCCAGTTTCACGGACCTTCGTGGACGGAGCTTCATTCCGACCAAATAGTCATCTCAATTTTCGCAAAGTTTCTGCAACACAGCACTCACATTGAAAATAGTTTTTCAATAGTTCCCACCTTTGTTCAAGATTAAAACGATCCATTATTCACAGCGGAAGTTTGACAAAATATATCTGTCAATATGTTGAGAACGGAAGTGTTAGCAACTGTCAAAATAATACCAACTTAAAAAACAACCCTTTACATCACGAGAAACCATGTCACTCATTTCCGTCAGTCTACGTCTATTACTTGGAAAGTGCTGCTTGGATTTTGATTAAATTTTGACACAAGGTTACTATTGTGCCAAGACAAAAAGCTTAAAATTTTTTGAAAATCGATTCAGTGGCGGAAGACATACATGCAGAAACGAAAAAAAAATACGCAAAGGCTGCCTTTTTTTACGTTCCAGACACTCCTGCTCGTTTTCAGTAAATTTTCGGTGAAGGCTGAAATTAGGGCGTTTTGAATTATAAGGGGTGGGAGGTTCATAGATATGCATTGCATATTTTACTAAGGGTTGGAGGAAGCTTCGACTGGTGCATTAGGAATATTTGGCACGTTGCCGTTGACTTTTTATATAATAAGTAGCATAGCTTTTGCATCTTAGAATAATATCAACAGAGGCTGCATAATTGGTATGGTATCAGTGAACGGCGTTTTATTATTAAGCAGAGTATGACCCCAGCAACAGCAATAATATAGATAAGGTTCAATATTTACACACATAGTCTATACGTTTGGAATAAAAATATATTTGTAAGTATGGAACAGCTCGCAGCTCCTTTGGGGTTGTTACCCTCACATTTGCATAAGAGAAGTACTCCAAACCTGCGCTGTAAAATATAATCCAACCCAGCGACCAAAGCTACAGGCGAGACGGGTTTGCGCCCACAAGTAAAAATTTCGTGAAAATGTCGGCCATCCGTTGGGATGCCTTCTTGGATGTTTTGTCATTTGACTTAACTTGAAAGCACTGACATATCTTTATGTTTCTTGACAAAGATGAAGTACTCTTGTTCCGAAAAAAAGGTTGCTATAGTAACAAAGTGAAAGATAGTTATTGTACGTCACTGTTTACGCGGTTGGTCTTTGTGTACGCTTGCGTTGATTTCGCCTTATCTCATTAATTTCTAATCTCTTTCCACTTTCTTCCTGACTATAGTCGCTGCCAGTCTGTTTTTCCCTGGACTCATCTATAGAAGTCGGTGTACCTTTCTTTTCATACAAAGTAAGTAAAAAGGTTCAAACTGAAATTTAATTGCCTTCCTCCATGTGCACCCGTTATTCTTTTATCTTTAGTCATATTTCAATGATATGCACAATTGCAAAATTAATGGTCCATATACGAGCAATGCCTCTTATGGACCCTTGTTTTATATTTGTTTACTCATTCTTTATATTGTGATTCAGAAGTGAATAAATAATATTATTATATCACAACAATTTATAGAAATCACCTGAAATTGAAAATAAACTGTTCACACCGATTATATACACTTTTGAACAGGTCAGATTAACAAGCGGACATCTAAGCTGATGAAATTGTTGCGTGGATGTAATACGTTGTCGTAAAATGGCAGTGGGAGATTTAAAGATGGCGGCTGTTCCAACAACATCACACCGAATTTCAGCTAGAAGATATTTGTGAAAGGCACTGTAAGAAGCCAATACGTTGCTTAATAGAAGTGTTGATAAGAAACTTGAAACGTGTTTTAAATATCAACTACAACAACTTTGAGACAAAATCTAAAGCATTGTGCATTTTTACCGAACCAGTAGGGTTCCAAAGTCAGGAACATGTATGTCTGGTACTGTTACGTTCTGTGGCCTTCCATGGGTCTCAGTACTTTATCAGCAAAAATTGTCTTACATTTTGTGCAAACTCTGCTAAAGGGTAATCTTATTTTGATTTCAAGAGCTTTTCACAGGGAGTTTCATGTGTTACCTAAACCTTTGGCTTTATCATCAACGACTTCTCTCCCGCTCTTTTTACCTGGTTATCGACATTTTTTTAATCTAACGGGGAACGCAGTTTATTTTTTATTAAATTTAGCTTCGATGTAACGCGGTATTGGAATCGCGTCCGTCTGAAATATTGATCATTCCAAAAAGACATTTGTACCTATACGCTATAAAATGTGCCCCTCTAACTTTCTTGTATGACCATTGAGAAAAAATTGTTTCATACAAAAATTGTATGGTTTAATAGATGTATTTAGTGAAAATCATAATAGATTTTTTTTCTGAATTCAAATACGTATATGTATATAAAGTTTATCATACTATTTTCCAGTGGTTTGTTCAAGAACTTAAATTGTATTTGTCATTTATTCATCTGTGTCAGAGGCAAACGGGTTTTCATCTAGCCGCTTATGCAATCCTGTATAGGGCTAGATACATTATGAATAAATAACGGAAATTATTCAAGTTTTTGTTTAATATGATAGAACTAAGCATTATAATGTTTGTAAACAAAAAAATTGAATTTTAAAAAATACAAAAAGGTCCTTTGCAATAATCGGAAAAACTAATGTTTCAATTGTGCTGTTAAGACGTATCCAAGAACACCTCAGATGTCAAAATCCATCAAGCCCTTTGGTCTGTATCCCGTGAAATATATTTCTTTGAATACAAATCCACGCGTGAAAAACATAACCCTCCATCTCAGGCAGTCGGATGAAGAACGTACCACTTTGACTAAAAATATTCATGGAGTTCTATTGAAAAAATACAAATTTATTTAATTTTCTGACAGTATTATATGAAATAGACGTTGCATGGAAAACATTATATTAGATCCATCAAGTTTTGTGTCTAACTCTTTGTTGTAAAACAGTAAAAAGGGTGGCAATTTATAGCGGGACATTCCATACAAACAAACAAATGTTTGTAAGCCTAACCTCTGCTAAATTGATATGCAGTTCACAGCTAGTTCACACTGCTTTATAGTACTTTTAACCTTAGAGATGAGAATGTATAGAAATCGTTTCTTTATAAGCTCCTCCACAATTTCCTCCTGTGTTTGTAGTAAACATCTTAAAGCAATTACGTATTTGTGCGAGTTCTGTCCATGTGCAAACCTATTTCAAATTTGGGTGCTTTAAGTGCCGAATGCTTTTTATCATACACAAATCTCCTTGCATTTATCGCCATTCCTATCCCTCGCGCTTTTTCTCCCATCGTTCTTATTCGTTTGAGAGATGTTCGAATCTAGCCGAAACTCAAAAGAAAACAATTGCAAACGTTCACAATAAAATTCATCTTAGTGGTAATAACCGCGACCTTGCTTCTTATTGCTAGCTCACACTGCTTTCATTAGATCGCGGAAGTATAAAAGCTTAAGCATTTCCAGAATGGTGTGCAATCTCTGTAGAAGTGCAAACTTATTTTAAGTCAAGTGCTTTTCATGTGCCCAGTGCTATTCACGTGTTTAGTGCTTTTCCTCATAAACTAACCTCCTTTGTCTTTATCGTCATTTTTATCCTTCGCGCCTTTCCCCCCGCCCTTTTTACCCGGTTGCGACATTTTTCGAAATTATCTAAAACTCAAAAGAAAGCTACTGCAAACGTTCACATCAAAATTCATCTTAGTTGGAACAATCGCGGCACTGAAATCGCGTCCCCCTTGGAATATCGATCATTGCAGAAAGACTTTCGTGCTTCTCGGCGGCCCAGTTGAATGTGTTGTAGAAAATTCAGCTCCCTCCTTGCGACTAAATTTAAATAAATCCGCGTTAGCCGAGAAAGAGTAAACGCAATCTTGGGCCAATAGGGGGAGGTTTCTCCCCTCTACGAAGCGTTGGATCGAGGCTATATGACTGTGATTTTTTTACAGGGGTGGATTCGAAACACAAGATGTCTTTGTTCTGTTGTAGAAGACAATGACCTTGGATAAAGTAAATTGATTTAGTATCTCCTGTCCCAAAAATCGATTCCAAATTATTTTCACAAAAATATCACTACTACCATGAAAATTGTATTTTACTTTACTTATACAGAAATCATGAGAGATATATTTTGATTTATCAAACATTAACATGCACAGATGAACATCACAGACATGACTTATGATGTACAATTGTACATGTTGTATAACATCCAATAAGAACCCATTTTCGAAATTTTTGACGAGTGACATAGGATACAACATTTTGCTCATGAAATGCAATATATGACAATGGTGTGTTGGTATCTACTACCATTTCAATTGCTCCACAAATCTTATTGACTATGTCAAAAAGACCAGAGGGTTAAGCGAAGTGTATAAACAAAATTATTTATTACTAAACGAAGTATAAAATATAGGAAAACCCAAGGAAAAACCAATCATAAACATCACAAACTCAAATCCCATAATTAAATATTTCTGCAATAATAACAATTATGCAAATATGACCTTTATAAGGTATGGTAGTATTTAATACAGGCGATCATTTTACATTGTCTGCTGGAAAACGATATATAACAAATTACATTAATATTTCTGCACGTAATTACATGAGTAGTGGGAAAAAACGACTGGTGGGCAACACTATTCCTTTTCTAATGTTTCGCTTTTCATATCAGAACTCTGTATAATCCAGATCAGAGCAGTATTCTTCAATCGATGAAAAGAACCAGAATAAAAGGACGTAGCGACGATATGAACAAAAATGCACGACATAGTTTTTGACATACTTAAGGGTCACCTTTAGAGTATCATTTTTCTTGAGGGTCACAACCAGTGGATCAATTTCATAAAATGAACAGATCAAAGCGAAGGATGGACACCTGATCGTAGATACCTGCAAATCTTTTGTGGGGGTAGGTAGCCGTGTTCAAGCTCAAAATCTTCTTTAAAGTCATTACGAATACATCATTCGAAAATTAAGCGATTTATGCAGTGCTTTTCAAAAAGGGCCCTCTCTCGCTACTTATTCTCTGAATAGGTCAAATTAGCAAGCTAAAATTTGGAGTGATGAAATTTCTGCGTAAACACTATAGTTTAGACAGATAGATATTTCGTTGATGGATAAGTTATGGCTGATACATACATAAAATTTACACCTCACTAGGCATAAGAAAATGTACCATTGATATGTTTGTCGTATAGAAAAATCACAGATGTACAATAGCTAAAGCATATTCGAGGTGACACAATAAAGTTAATATAGCAAATTCAAAGTATAAAAAGAAAATAGTTGTTATCCGCTACAGCATTAGTTAAAATATAAAAAAAAACTTTTGATAAAAGATTAAATATATAAATAGATAAAATAAATGAATGAACAATCATTTTCCATCTTTTCCTGTAAAAAACCTCATCTTCTTCTAAGTTCCTCGTGGTCATCGCTTGCTCAATGTCATCTCGCCCGATCCTTCTTTCTTTTTTCTGGTGGAATCCATGAACCTTTCTGGGCCATCTGTCGGCGTTCATCCGTTTTACATGCCCGAACCAAGTTAACTGTCTTTTTTCTATGTCTTCGTGTATACGTCTATCCACCTGCATATGCATTCGGATGTCATCGCTCCTGCCTCTTTCGAGTCTTGATCGTCCACAGCTCCTAGAGAAATCCATTTCAGTTGCTATGAGTTTATTTTGTTGGTCTTGGTAACATCCCATATTTTTGAACCGTAGAGGGTTACCCTTTGGACTAGGCTACTATATAGATGTTTCTTTGCAGCTTTGTAATTTTTTTATCCCAGAGAAGAGTGTTCAGCGTACTAGTTACTGCTCTACTTTTATTGATCCTTTCTTGTATTTCGTTTTCACTATTGCCTTTTTTATTGAATAGTATTCCAAGATATTTATCACACTTTACTCCTCTTATTGTGCCGTTGTCCAAGGTTAGATCGTTTACCTCTTCATTGTCTACTATAAGGTATTCACATTTCGCTAGATTCATCTGAAGACCTGCCATCTCGTACTCTTCTTTTAGTTTTCTGATCATTTAATATAGATCATCTTCATCTTCAGCAATACCTATCTGGTCATCTGCGAAGAACAGCGTCAATAAAGTGTCATCTCCTGTACTTGGGCAAATGGTTTTACATTTTTGCACCCATTTAAATAGACCTTTATCCAAATAAATTTAAAAAGTGCAGGAAATGGACAGCAGCCTTATCTTAGTTTTTTTGTGCTATTTATCGAGGTGGTTACTTGATTCTCTATTTTTATTCTTGTGGAGTTATCCTGATAATAATTCTGTGTAGCACGAATCAACATTTGATTGATTTCCAAATTTTTCATCTCCTTCCACATTCTTGATACAGGTACGCTATCATATCTTTTTTCCAGATCTGTAAGAGCTTCATGAGTATCTCTATTACGTTGCGCTCTCTTCTCTAAAGCATTGTGCACAGTCGATCGTCCAGCTCGAAAACCCAACTGTTCTTCTGACTCTTTCTCTCTGATCTCCTTGTCAATTAAACTTCTCACTACTCTTAGGTATATTCTTCCTATCGTGGGTATTGCCGCTATTCCTCTATAATTTCTTGGATCGTTTTTTGAACCTTTTTTATAAATTGGGGATGTATAATACTGTCTCCATTCTTTGGGTATAGTTTCTCATATAGTACATAAAATCGAGACGCTTAAACAATCACATTTAAGATACATTTAAACCCTGGTACACATAATATCACATAAAATATATATTGATATATAATTTTAGGATAAAAAATAGTCAGCTAGAGTGTAATGGCATTTGTAAACAAGATATCCCTTCAGATGAACCTTCAGAAGGTCAATGTTGCCAGTTCTCTTGAAGTCTGTGGGTAAATGATTGTGAACCTTGGTGCATGTATACAGTGGATATTTTTCAACTAAACTTGTTTTATGTGCAGGAACAGACAAATCATAGCCACTTCTTATGTTGATTGTATTTTTTTGTATGATTTTTTTTCATGGCAGAATGCGACGATAGCACATTTGTATATGTTACTGTGAGCAGATTATATCGGATAATGGTTCCCTTAGAATAGTGTCTTTGGCTAAAAATGTATTAAACATTAACCTAACAAATCTTTTCTGCAGTAGAAATGCTCTCTTTTTCTTACTTGTAAGAGTTATGTTGTTGCAGTGAGGAGAGATTATCGCGTAGTACACACCTATAAGTGTAGAGGTTGAGACAGTTTGTTTCATTTTGAGTACTGCAAAGTAGGTTTCCTTAATTCTCTTGCAGACATGATTTGTATGTTCCCGCAATGTTAGTTATCCTTCCAGATTCAAACCAAGAAAGGTAGTCACATCTGAACAGATATTTTGTCGCAAACGCGGCTTACCGTTATAAAAGCATAGAAGCTTAGAAGCTTTTTATGGGTACTTCGAAACCATAGAATACGAAAATGCTATTTTTGAGAACGGCGCACTGGTAGGTTGTTAAAGTTGAGCATCTTTGTACAAACATTTAATCGATTAAAGCTCAATAACCGATTATCAACATGCTATAGCATGTGATAGTAATCTTGATATTTAGCTTCTTATGCAACATTTTCTTAAAAAAGATCACATATATTTCTATTAGGATAGACATCACCAAGAGTTGTTTAGCATACGTTTTGATGATTGGTTGTTCAGTTATAAGCGATTCAGTGTACAAGAATTCTCTACATTGATAGTCTGCCTATCTGCCGTTTTGAAAGGTAGCAATTTCATATTCCACGGTTATGAAGTGACCCCACATTCATTTAAAAAGAAGCTCCACGACCGAGTATATAGAATTATATTTCAGGCACCAAACTGGGAGCACCTTGAAGTGCAAGTGCTGCTGCGCCATTTTCCTCGACCACCTCTCGCCCCAATTTCAATGTCTGGTGTGGGCGATAATGCTGAATCCACCCCTGTTCTTGATTTGCATAGGCAAAGAACACATAATCCATAACTAGATTTTAGCATATTAGTTCAGATCAATGTATCTACAGAGAACGACTTGTGGAATCGTCGGAATTTCACATGGAACAGGCCAGTCGGTGGGATTTGTAACGAAGAATTTATACTTGTACTAGTATGTCAGCATTAACCTTTCCAGCAGTGTAGCACACATTTTCCCTAATCCTGACATTAACACGGCATATGAAAGGAAGCTTTCATCGCATTCTGTGAATGAGAAACATTGCAGCCTCAGACTTTTGAGCATTATTTAGGAACGAGTAACTACACCTTTGGTGATTTGGCGGTATTGGTTCCACTGTGAAGAGTGGGTCTTCACAAATATTCTGGACCTCTTTTCTTCTATCTACAAAAAGGGTTGATTCTTTCAATACATCAGTTCTGTTAGGCTTTTTGATGTCACCTCACACCCGTTCCGAGTTACACTTACTGGGCGGAAATAACATCCTCAACTTGCTTGTAAATTAACCAGATAGGACAAGAATCTCGCATTCATAAAGGAATTTCATTTTTTTTCATAATCTAGTTTGTAGGATGCCCCAATGTGCCTTGGGAACGGAAATGCGTATCCCAGGAGATCCTGAGCTTTTCGGGTCTTGCGCAAAGCTATCTCAAAATTGTTGTTGTTGGCTTCCCGGGATCTC